ATTAAACAACCCCAACAACTGGCAGAGGTTCTTGGAGAACCCAGATAAATAAGGCGCCATACTTTAATAATAATAATAATAATAATAATGCTAACCGTTTTTGAGCAATCTACCGTCACACCGCTTGCGGTCGTAGTAATCTTTAACTTTTCGGCAAAGCAATCAGTACAGACACGAGATGCTGGACAGCACTTCACGGCTCATCACTCTGCTACTGTGCCTCCTCCTCCTCCTCCCCCTCCTCTATCCTCTACCACGAGGTCAGATGATCAACGACCGCCATTCACGTGCTCGCCTGCGCACGCCGCGAGCGCACGTAGAGCGCACGCGTTCGCTCGCCTACAGCGTTATGTCATGTGACCGCAGGCGGATTATTGCTTGTGCGCACACAAAAAGCAAACAACTCGTCACTCTTCTCCTTCTGCTAGTTGCTTTACCGGGTGTGTAATAACACTGTTGTGTACCACCGGGAGGCCACGTAAAAACCAGTAACTTCCCCAATATTTGGGACCACGTCGGATGGTTCTCGCGACATGGCAATCGTGGAAAATTGCTGTTAACGCTTGCAAAAGCAAAGCAAAAAATCACTTCCCCTTTAGAGTGTGTCCTCCACAGTTTCCTACAACACTTATCACCAGTAAATGCGTGACGATGCAGTCAAGTGTCGGTGGCCAGTCCAGACGCGTTCGTGGTCTGTCGCTCGAGCATTTAACTAATTAAACGAGCAACAGGATGTTCCTTCCATGCGAGAAGTGAATCTAGCGGCAAATACAGTGAAGTGAGCATATTTCGAGAGCCGTTGAAATCGGCGTGGAAGAAAGCTTGCTGGTCAAAGTTCTAGCACTTTCAGCAAAGGCAGCGTTGCTCCGATGTCCACACATCGATGCTTCGCAAATGCCATAATTTGATTCCTTCCATCATTGAACTATTATGGTGGGTGCATTTGGAAAACTGAAGCTCTGGCACCCAACATGGTTAGGTTTAACTTCTTCCAGTGTCTTCAAAACACGGCCACCTATTGGACAGCAGTTATGTGCTTGAAATTTTGGTGATTGTGGTTTAGCGAAGTCTTCCAAAGTGCAGTCTACCTCATCAAGCATTTCAACGCAGCATCTCTTGAAGACACCAGAACACCTAAGTTGCAGGCTCAAAGGTTACTTTCTCGCTGGCTAGGAAATAAATCTAACTTGCTGCTTACCTAGATTGCATTCCTGGTTGATGCAAAAACTAGTGATCGGACATAAAACTACTGTTCCAACACCATCCACAATTCTTAATTTCTCCCTCAGGCATCTATCAATAAAATTTTGCCATATTTGTTTGCAGTTAGAAGTAAGACCTGTCACCGTAACCGCTAAATTTTGACTGGACTGATCCTCATTCAACTACCTTGGCTTCCATCCGCTCGCATGTCTACTTAGAGTTCTATTGTGTTAGACTGGTATCTGCTGATTCCTAGCTTATCAATGATCTTATTCGCAACATTGGTGATGATGCAGATGACAAATAATGGAAAATAATTTGGAGCTCTGAAATCAGAGGCTTACGATCTACTTTGCACTTACACCAATCCACAAGCACAGAAACTACCTAGAATGTGTCGTGAAGTGTCACTAGTGTTCTGCGGTACTCAGCCCTACCATGTTATTTGAAAAGTCAGCCTACACTGTTATTTGAATGGTTACATTTTAACAAATTGGTGGTAAGTTTATCCGACACAAGTCAATCAAGCCGGTGGATAAGGTGCCTGCAACTCGCGTTGGACGGGAAGCAGCCTAAACGAGGCCACTTAGGTAACTCCGCCGAGACGCAGCCCAGAGCCAGGACACATCCTCGATTGATTTCCACGTCACGTCACAACTAACAGCACAAAACTAGTTTTGTGGAACTTCTCAAAAAAGCTAAGGCACCCATATTGACACCTAAGCTTATTAATGCCTACAAATTTCTCATTTTGGTCTACCTGAATGGGTGCATTCACGAAATTTCAAATTTCGCGGGTTGCAGCAGATGGGCTGAGGGTCGCCTTCCGCGAATTCGAGCTTATTTTATTAAAGTGGCATCGTGGGCAATACGTCCGTTTTCCATTCAGTACTGAAACCTGTGGAATTGGTGTATATGATGCTTAGTGAGCGGCTGAGTGTTTACTCCACTTAACATGCGGAGGCTTCATGCCGATTTTGTTGTCCTCAATCGTCATAATTGGCAGTCAGATACAACGTCTACAGGATGGTACGTTTTCTCAACTTTTACGACACAAACACCCTGGAGCTTCTATGTGACAGTGACGAGGACATAGTTGTGCCAAACCCGTATTTGTGCTCACATTGCAGTACGCAAAAACCGATTATCACTTGTAATCCGTAAAACTATTCATTAAGGAATTACGTTCACCAGTTGATGCCAGGAATTAAGGAAAGACCATCTGGGTTCGGGTTACCGACTCCACCAAATTTAAAAGAAAACCACCGCTTACTAAAACACTACAACCCTACCAGTCATTTAACGGAAGAAGGCTCCCAAATGACCCTCCTAATCCTTTCTCTTACTAAAAACAACTAGGTTCCAAGTACAACCCTTTGCTGATTAATCTTAATGGTGTCACATTTGAGCTACTGGACAAACATAACTCAAAAGAGCATTGATAAGGGAACAACGATGAGCGCAAAAAGCCATTCGAACCTATACCCGCAAGTATTCGCAGTATCAACAAATAACCTAGTACCAAACCACTTCCTGCGACTTTTTGCATCCAGTTGCCCAACTCAAGAATCAGTCTCTACGAAGTGTTCCGAAGAATGTGGGGAACCAAAAATAAAATGAAGTCGTGACAGGGCTTTCACCAAGATAACTCCGGAGATGGTGAAAAGCCCATGGAATTAGCACCAAAAACGTTAAAGAAAAGTTTGCATGTACACATTTTTCAGAAAACATAGTGATGTTAGTAATAAAATACTATCAACATAACTTATGTGAAAACCGTAGTTGCATTGTAAACCATTTGTGACCGAGCATCGGGAAAAAACCAACAATGGGTTCATAGACGACTTAAAAGAGCCTACAGAACAAATATAGGGAACTAGCTCCTGGGGTCCCAAGCAAAGGGCGACGTGATTGTCTCAGATGCCCAAAAAGAAGACACGCGGGTCTTCAACAAACGATTTGATCTTGCGGAGAAACAATACAGCTTCCCGTCCATCGATAAGACGATGATCGTATGAGAGAGCCACATACATCATTGGTCTTACAACAACCTCGCCATTTCGGACGACAGGACGCTCGAACGTTCCATGCATACCCAAGATGGCCGACTGGGGAGGATTCACAATGGGAGTACTAAACAAAGAACCAAAAACTCCTCCGTTTGTGATTGTAAAGGTACCGCCATCCATGTCTTCAACTGCCAAATTACCGCTTTTTGCCTTTTCACCCAAATCAAAAATTCCCTTCTCAATATCAACAAAATTCATGGATTCGACGTTGCGTAAGACAGGGACGACAAGACCTTTGGGAGATGCAACGGCTATGCTCAAGTCAACATAGTTTCTGTATACAATATCTTTTCCGTCAATGTAAGCATTAACAATTGGTTGATCCTGTAGTGCGAAGGCTGCTGCTTTGGAGAAGGACGACATAATACCAAGTTTGACGCCGTGTTTTTTGAAAAACTCGTCCTTGAATTTATTCCGCATATCAATCAAGTTTGACATGTCAATCTCATTGAATGTGGTTAGCATTGCGCAAGTATTTTGCGCTTCCTTTAAGCGTTCAGAGGTTCGAGCACGAATCCGGGTCATCTTAACACGTTGTTCGGTACGAACGCCCGCTGGAAAAGCGGAAATTAGAGAAAAAGGTACATTTTGAGGCACAGATGAGGAAGATGAGGCCAGTGGTTTAGAGGCAGTAGGTGGCGGTGATACCGTATCTGTGGATGGCGGTGGAGGCGGCTGAGTTGGAGGCGAGGTGAGTGGTTTTGGTGATTCCGGTGATGGGACGGACTCCTCTACTTTCGGCGAGGCGGCCTCAGATGGGGCCACTTCACATTCTTCAATCTTCAGAAGCGGCTGGTTATAAGTAACTTTCTGACCCTCTTCAAAGAGTAGTTCCCTAACAACACCACTCACAGGTGACATAACGGGGATGGCCGTTTTATCAGTCTCAACCTCAGCAACAACTTCATCAACAAGTACGGTGTCGTTAACGTTTTTTTTCCAAGTAATATCACCCTCCGAAATTGACTCGGGAAAAGGAGGTACATTTACGACTCGGATGGCTTCAAACAAGCATGAGGTGTGGATCATGCAGCAAGGTGATGGATAATTCGTGGCCCTGAAAAGAACGTACTAATATTTGAGTATTGCTGTATCAAGGTGATTTCGGCAAAGGAACCACGCACCCATGACATTCAAATAAGTACCAACCGAAATTTTTTATTCTGAGAACGACAAATGTATTGCAAGGACAAGGAGCAAACATGACAGGCTTAGCCAGAGGACGCTTTACATGACAGACTACCTGGCAATAGCCCCGAATATTTACTGATCATTGCTATTATAGAAACAAAATCCCAGGTCAAGTCCCGGGTTTTTATTTGACCAAGGTCTCGAAAATTTCCAAGAAAACCACAAGGAAATCGATGACACAGCGAATGCATTTCATTTACTACAACGAGATACTGCATTAACGTTAGGTTTTAGTTCACTGTCAAGTGAGTACTTAATGTTAGTGTACGTGCAATTTCTCAGTCAGGAGACAAATTGCTACGAGTTGCATTAACGCCACCGATGAGAACGTGGCTACTACCCTAGGAAAAAAACTTGATTAGATGACCTTCCTATAGTAAACTAGAATACGCTATAAATGATCAATTCTACAGTGAAATTTCATCTTATCCGCGACTTACTGTTAAATCACACGATAAGACAAAACAGATGAGCGAAGCACCAGGAAGTATTAAAAAAATCAGAAGTGACGGTGAAAAAAATTCCTATTTGCAAGCGCTTTTGGAAATATGTATCAATGTGAACTCGAATAAAAAAACAGATTAAGGGCACTACTTCTTACTGAAACAAGCTTCGAGAGTACAACCGACGAAACGCTCGCATAACCTGCATGCCGCGAAACATGTTTAAAGAGAGATTCCCGAAAATTGGACCTAGAATATTAAAAAAAGAGGATGGAAATAAGTCTTTAAGGCTGAACAAAAGATAAATTTTTGGTTCTTGCTGCTAAAGCAAAGAAAAAGAACGGTCAAAACAAAATACATGAAACTTAAAAAGCTATATAATGCAACAGACAAGACCGACGGAAATCGCACACACCAAACAACTCACGAATTACAACAAATAAAGTCAGGATTAAAACTGCAACACAGCCCGAAAGCACTTAAACAAAACAAAAGTCTAAAAAGAGGAATTAATCCAACTGCATGAAATACAGCAGCAATTACCGAAATCAATAAAAATATTTCTTAACAAGAAACATACTGAGACTGATGAATTTTTACCATTATTATTACTTCATTTTTTTCTGAATTAGAACGAAAAGCGATGAAGAACTAAACAAATAGCAAGATTTCTAACTAAATAGATTCAACTGCAAGGGTCATCGGGCAAACAAATTGTTATGATTTTGCTTTTTCCCTTTTCATGAACTTATTTCATGATATATGACATAACGTTATAAATAATAAGTAGAGGAATTCAATTTATACAAAAAAAAACAATCAAATTAATTAATGACCCCTCATATAAAATTATCCTAAAACAGACTAAAAGAAAGCGACGCAAATTTTTTAGAGCGTTTATATTTGAAAACCGACAATGAATATATATAATGGGATGCGTTTGCATGCGGACAATCAGCAGTGATTTTTTAAAGAGGGCTTTTATAATTGGCATTTGAAAATCCGTTTAATCTATCAATTAGTAAATTTTTACATTCTTTGAATTAATAAATCGTTCAACTAGCATGATAAACTATAAAAAAATAAAATTCATTAACGCTTAATGAAATGGGATTCGATTGAAAACCCAAAAACTAGTTGACGAAGATCATATTATGAACATTACTAAGTCTATAAGCACAGTTAAGCAAGATAGAACATCAATATTGCAAAGTCACCATAGTAAATGATTTTAAAGTCGATATTAATTAAATCAAGTCAGGTATCAAACAACCTTACGATTTATGAATTGTTTAGAATGTTGATTTAGATTTGCTGACGGCAGTGCTGGATAATCCAAAATAATTTTTTTTAAAATCGACGTGAAAAACGTGAACTTTTCCTATGTTTACCTTTTAACGTTATGTTTTTTTACAGGTCTTGCTGCAATAGAATGCAAAGTCGTTAATAGTGGATAATCCTAAGACTACTCTAAGGTACCGGACTGCTTTTTCTGTTTTTAGATTTTAGCGCATATATTCAGTACTGCTTATGCGAGCGTCATTTGCGAGACGGTCTTCTTTAAGGCAATATTCTTAAATTTAGCACTTTTGCACATAGTCTACTGAAACCATTTCTATAAAGCATTCGTGCATTATTTACTAATTGTAGACGTACTTCACGAAATTCGCAATATCGTATTTAGCTCAGTATTTTTTGCATCTGTAACGCCAGCACCGTCTCTGTAAATATACGGACTTATGGTGACAATAAATCAGGGCTTTCCTGTACGTCGTATGTTTTTATATTCCAGCATTAGTTTCACGCGTTATCGGCATAAATATCGCGTTGAATTCAAGTAATTTTTGGATTTTGAGGCAAAACTATAAAGTGAATTGCATTTAACCAGCAACCGTAGATGTTTGATGGACAATCTGTTGCGTCTTACAACTTAGGCATAAGAGCATCCTAACATTGGTTTTTTAAGCCATCAGGAATAATATATTATACAATAAAGTTAGCAATCGAAGTATAAAATACTGATTGTTGTCAACCAAATAATGCATTTTACTAAAGCGCATAGCTTTATTTTAACCGAATAAATCGAAACTATGTTGATCCAAACGTATTTATTTTAGTGTACATGTAGTTTTTAACATTTCTCTCACATCAGATTAAAATAAAAATTCTTATATCTAGATCTCAAAGACATATAAGGACCTTGCCAAAAGATCGTCGGCTAACCGTTTTACTGGTGTAAGGCCAAGACGTTTTACTATAGCCAGCAACCTGCTTATTTTAATGAGCAGCAGCAACTAACATGACCTACCGGTTATATATTTTATTGCCCATTTACTAAACTAGCTGATATTGTTCAAAAACGCATCTGCCATTTCGGAAATTTCTCAGCATAAGTGACCTACATCTATAACCGTCCCTTTGACTAAGTCTTGATAAGCAAGTTCAAAGGGGTATCCTTGATGTTTTTATGATCACGAAGCAACAATCACACTTTGCACATGCATTAAATGCGAAAGACGCTAGCTTGGCCCCTTAGATAATTCGGAAAATTTTGTAGTTTAAATTTTAAAAGAAAGCCTTCGCTATAATATCAGCCGCTGCACCCTTGTATTTAACCACGGAGCCCCAACTATTTTATTAAATGCTGCGTGGGTGTTAATCGAATCTAAAACGATCGAATTCGATTCTTTAGATTTCTTATTCACTTTTGGCGAAGGAGCATCTGCTTTGTTGCAGCAATAATGTATTTTGTAAAAATATCCATATTTACCAATTAGGATATGCGAATCACACACAAACACCCTGTATCGACACCACGTATTGGCTTTTTCATCGGTCCGTAAATACTAATGCCTGTACAAAGCAGTTAATTACACTTTCCTTTGATATTTTAATCAAAGATTGGGCATTTATCGTATGGACTTTAAATGATAAATTAACTCCAAATAAACTGTACTTCTCCAGATTGTAAAAAAAAAATTAAAATTCGTCTTTAATTTTAAATCAAAATGTGCTGGATTTGTATTTCAAAGCCTTTAAGCTTTTAATCCCTTAATTAAATACTTAATGTACAAACACTGGCTTTAAGCAGATAAAAATGGTAAACAGAGTGGTACAGCAACTTCCAAACCTAACATATTAATGAAAATTCCGAACACAACAACAAATATCTGTACCATTAAAGTGTCGCCAATGAATTAAACATGATGATTTACATTTAAAACATTTCTTCTACGGACATTTGCAGCAACACAATAACTTTAATCGAAATTTCCTGTTATAAATCGGAATAAAGTGAATCTCTGTATTATAAATTTTGAACTTACTGGACATCAAAATACTCAACTACGTACCCTAATATTTTTAGAAGAGTCGATAACTTTTAAAACACAGTGTTGACTGCGCACATTGTGGCTGGCAGTCAAGATGCATCTAAACTTACAGACTTAATGCGGTTTTGTTGCACAACTTTTGGAATCCGTAGGTAGGGGCTTGTTTTCACTGCCTATTCAGCTTCACTATTTCAGTTGTGCTTTCAATTAACAAGTGGATGTTGCTTAGTATTATACAGATCACTGGAAAAAAAACGATTTAAAATAAGTGATACAATTTTGAAATGGACTTATTAAACATAAAGGATATTCAATAAACGGACCTTGAGAAAGCAAATTACATTTAAGCAAGTTGTTGGTCAGCGTTTGCCCATTGAATACCTTAGTAAATCATTCGCCTAATGTTCTATTCGCTCATTTAGTAACGCCTGTAGTATACCCGAACCCGAGTATGGAGAAGTCAGGTACAACAGAACAGGCTTTATTGACCAATCAAAAGCCAGAACCACGTGTCTGGGACGTAGAATGACCGCCATGATAGCATCTGCTGCTACTAAAGGGTCTTGCCTCTATTGTTTATTAAGCCTGATTCTGGTTATCAGAGTCCACCACACTGGCTATGCCGCTCGTTATATTCTGCTCCTCATTCGTGTCTTTTTCTGGTTGGCTGCATTTCTTCCTCGCATGCCATTGGAACGCATAGAGACAGAGGATTGGCTGACGTCAGCATAGAACAATATGTCCGCGTTTCTAAACGTCAACATGTAGAATACCCGAGCCCTAATAGGAAAAACACCGGTACAACAGAACAAGATTTATTGACCAATCAGAAGCCAGAGCCACACGTCAGGCGCCTTCTATCCGAGTCTGCCACGCTGGCCACGCCACTCATTATATGCTGCACCTCAGTCGTGTCCTTATCTGGTTGGCTGCTTATCTTCCTCGTATGCCACTGGAACGCAGAGAGACAGAGGATTGGCTGCGGCCAGGTGGTCCAACATGTCTGCGCCCTGAAAGGTCGACGCAGAATACCCGAGCCCTAATAGGTAAAAGACCGGTACAACAGAACAGGCTTTATTGACCAATCAGAAGCCAGAGCCACCCGTCAGGCGCCTTCCATCCGAGTCCACCGCGCTGGCCACGCCGCTCATGTGGCGTCGGATAAAAGCGCAGATATGTTGGACCACCTGGCCGCAGCCAATCCTGTGTTTCTCTGTGTTCCAATGGCATGCGAGAAAGATAAGCAGCCAACCAGAGAAGGACACGGATGAAGTGCAGTATATAATGAGCGGCGTGGCCAGCCTGGCGGACTCGGATGGAAGGCGCCTGACGCGTAGCTCTGCTTCTGATTGGTCAATAAAGCCTGTTCTGTTGTACCGGTCTTTTTCCTATTAGGCCTCGGGTATTCTACACTCATTATATACTGCATCTCCTCCATGTCCTTCTCTGGTTGGCTGCCTTCCTTTCCCGCATGCCATTGGATCGCAGAGAGACACGGGATTGGCTAAGGCCAGGTGGTCCAACATGTCTGCGCCCTGATCCGACGCCACACCACACCACGAACGTACCACAGCTCACACCTTTAAATTTGTAGGGTCATTCTTCTGCATTTGATGTTTATGCTAACCACGGGTGTCTATCAAGCAACGTTTCCTTAACTCGGAATAGCCTCATGTATCTACCACACTAAAATTTTTGAACCTGACTGCGAATTTGAATCTGCAACGAACTAAAAGTTAGGTATTATTGCGTGTGAATGAGCTAGTTTTTTGAGTAAGGTCCACATGATGCAAATGTCTAATCACTTGATGATTGAGTTTACTAACAACATTAAACTTGTAGAACTTTGTTCCGTGTCCCCAGTCTAAGCTCAAGCTTTGATCAAGGTTTATGTTTCACAACTTTCGATGTGTGCGAGTACGGATTCGCATACTAGTTACTCGAGTATGTGATTTAGGCGTGAGGAGAGTAACGCAACTTTCGTACCACTTCTTTGATGTGTTTCGTGTCTACGGTTGTTCGCACTTTCATGGCTTATGGACGAAAACAACCGTTTCTGGACTATTTGATATCTTATAATTCATTAAAAAAATATATCACAAAGCCTTTGAAATCCATTAAGATGTTGTCGTGGTCTGTAAATTTCTTTAACACCCCATAGAACACCTTCATGCGTCGATCGGAATGTTCCTTTACGTATTTTAGATTTTGAGGAACGATTGCCATGGTTGGCGCTTTTCCAATTTTCAAGTTAGCGGTTCTTGGAGCCAAGCAAATCAGCAGGCCAATTGCCAATCGTCTAAAGCAAAAGGCGGTATATAACGGTTTCTTTCGACGCTATGTTTGCATCCCATCAGGTCAACGTATGTTCCTGAAAGTCGCTAACCACGTCCTTTTAGTTTACCATCTTTGGGATACCCGATTAAAATTAAAGCTACTTGGTGTGAGCAAGCCAATGGGCGTGAAGAAGTTGACCGACGAAAGCGCTGCTGAAATGGGAGCTGAAATCCTCGGTGAGCTCATCATGTTCAGCATCGGCACCTTTCTTCTAGTCCTTGAATATCGACGTCAATCGAAAAATGAAACGGAAAAGGAACGCAAGGCCCGTGCCGAAATTCGAGCATTGGAGGACGCAATAAAAAATCTTGAGTCCAGAATTTCTTCCCAATCTGAAACCCTTTACCAGTTTTCAAAACGGCTTGAAAACTTGAAATGAGACACTAGAATATATTGACAGGTAGGCTCAACAAAAACCAAATCAATACCACTACATGCTTTTCAATTTTTGGTACATACTGAAGTTAACTGGAAACTAGAAAATATCTGCAATCGGATACTCATGTACTCCAAAGTAAAATATGAACTTAGTCGGATTCTGGTGTTTAAAACCAAGATTCCTCATTCAGCAACACTAACTGGG